GGGATGAATAATCCYGAGGTTGGAATATCCTTTCTAATTTTCTAGTGGGACATGAAAATGCTACTACTTGATGAAAGCACAGGGGACATGACCCCAACTATGATTTGCATTTGGCACACGTCTGGCCGAAATCGGCGTGCCAGTTTGTGGGAAACTGACCATGCAAATGTCAACACACCCTTGTTTCACTATCAGCAGACCTGYAAACTTCTCTTGCAACATGGAGAGAAGCTTTTTCACACCTGACTGAACAAAGCTGTAAGGTTTGTACACACCAGGTCCAGATTCTCTTCCTTCTTAAAGTCCAATCACACATTTTTATATTGAGGAGATTAAACACCTTTGATATCGACAGCCATTGTTCAGTTGTACACACCTCCTTTATAACTCAATATCCTGCTCCATATTTATCTTATTCCCTCCTGAATGGGAAAATGAGAAGATGGCTGCTGTAGCAAGTTGCATAAAGGTTCTTTTCAGTCTTCTCTTTATTAAACACCTCTGTGTTTCCATGCTGTGGCCTTTTTCTTATAGTTCTGCATTCATATTTATGTCTCTGTGCATTTATTGCCCTCTCAAAATCYTTAAGAAGTGACACCAGTGAAGATAAACTAAAATAACCTATATTAATTTAAAATAATATCTGCCAGTTCTACACTATTGCACATTGTGCTTCTTCCAAAGGCAGCTATGCAATTATAGGTACTTGGGTGCATAAAGTGATACAGAGGTTTCTATGGCAATTATTCATTTTAATTGAAAATTGTGTAGGGAAAGACTCATTTCAAGTGCAGCATGAAATTTGAATTTGTTTCCAGAGAATCTGAACTTGCTTAGGGTGAGTTCTAAATTCCTATTTTGCAGGAAGACACAATCCTTAAAATTCTCTTGAGGGAATAGGGGGTGGGAGACCAAGGTAATGTTGTTAAGCTTATTCACGTTCAGAAGCACCTATCCACTTATTCAAGACAGTATTTTTGACTGTCGAGTAAAGATTTGAYGTTTCAAATGAAGGAGGAAGAACTTAAAATCAAAATTATTCACAATGCCCTTGAATCTCTGAGGTAAAAGAACCAGAAAAACACAAAAGAATCAAAAAAGGACAGCAAAGAGACAGCTGAAGAAGACAGGCCATCAATGAGAAGTCCACCAGGTCAAACATTCCTATTTTCATATATTCTAGCTACTCTGCATTAGAATAATAATGAAGACAAAGTTATTTCAAATCTTAATATGTTTTAGAGTGTCAATGAAAGAGTTGGAGGGAAGCCACAGTTTCACCTTGGTTAGATAATAAAGTAAAGCTGTAACTTAATTTCCTGTAGGAAGATAGGACTTCTTTCCACTCCCAGTTCCCATCACCACAGTGAGTCAAACATATTTTAGGCCTAAATTAACAACAACAACAACAACAACAACAAAAAGTCATCTAATGCAAGTGAGGAAACAACCTCTGAACTGTGATTTCTCATTCACTAAATTGACAGTGTTGCCTTTTCTGAAACAATGCTCTCCTTATTTTCTCTTTGTGTCTTTTTAAGGCTGCACAGGCCAAGTGCCAGAAATGTCTCAAGTTAAAAATAGTCCTTGAATCCTTCATAAGTATTAAATAAATATTAAATTGATGAGAAGGTGAGGGTTCTTTACCAGCTACACAATCCTCCTAACTGAGAAAGATCAGCACATGTGACCATGGCAGCATGTGAGGGGAAGCAGAAGAGTAATTTTAACAATGCACTTTTTCTGTATGTTTGGCTCATTCCATTCCTGCACTTTAGAATATCTAGAACAGAAAACGGAAGAACAACTCCTGACTTCAATGTCAGTGATCKCATCACAGTTCAGAAGAACACAGAATTACACGAATGTGCTTTTTAGAATACATATATCATCCATTTTTAATAAACTGGAAGTTAATAATTAACCTCTTGTGGAAAGGCACAGGAATGTGAAGGGCACATTCCTTTGAGGTAACCAAGTTACTCTTTTTTCCCTTTTTTTTTTTTTTTTTGTGAGAAGTTAAATTTTGGTCAGAAAATGGCTTTGCAAGACAGGGGAACCCACTTGCTTGGCAAAGAAGTGTGAACACGAAAAGGATCCCTCCAATGACAATCCAGCAGGGAGGGCTTTTCTCTGCATGCACAATTTGCTCTATTTTTGGCACCTGTTCTGCCATATGGTGATGGTCTTAAGGTCAATGGTTGGGCTTGATGATCTCTTTTCTAGCCTTAATTATTTGATAAACTCTCACCTCCCTCATATTCTGCTGCACTCTCGACCCTCTTTTGACACTTACATGCCTTCCTTCATTTTACTACTTGACTCTCTCATAATTATTAACATATACAGCAATCAACAAAGGTTTCTTGGATTTCTTTTATGCTTCCAGACATGAAAGGAATATATTCTCATTCCTCTGTGTGCCATTTGTATAAATAGAAAAGAAATATATTCTCATTTGTATAAATAGAAAATAACCTGTTGAAGGGAAGTAAAGTTCAAAGTGAGCAAATTTGACTTAGTTCTGAACAGTTTTGCTCAGCTCTGAAGGGTAAAAAGGCTGTGGGTGATATTCTTGGTCTAAACTCATTTCTACACGGGACAGAACTCTACAGCTATTCAAGCTTTTATTAATTTTCAGGGTTTCAGAAACACAGATATTAAACAGCAGTGCTCATGGTGTTGGAAGGATAAGTGAGACCTGAAGGCTGGTTTTGGCTAACAATAAGACACAGGTTTGAATAGGCTCTGGCACAGGCACTGCTCTTGATAAATTAAATGCAATGACGGGATCTAGTAATTGCATTTAATTTTTTTTTTCCCCATAGCCAAATTGTAAGCCTGACTGGGAGAAGTGGGAAACAAGGACAGAAAAAAAGGAGAGGCCTTTCCAGTTCCACTTGCCATCATCATTTCCTGAGAAAACCACTGATAAATATCTCTCTCTATTTTGGCTCCAAGAATGCAAGCATCAAAAGGATGTAAAGGAAATTTTTTCTCACTTTTATGAACACATACATACACACAMAGGAAAAATCACCAGTGAAAGTTTAACATTCACTCTCAGAAGTGCCAGAATATTTTCCATACAGAAGCTGGATGTGCTGCTCACTCCCCTCAGTGCACTTAAGACTGCAGATGTCACACAGAGCACAAACCATTGCCAACACAAGACTTAATATCTCTAACTGAAGGACCTGAAGTTTTTCTTGACCACATGGAGGCATTTTCATGTGTAATAGATGCAGAGTAATTCCTCCATAAAATTAATCATCAAATATTCCTTCAAGTCTTGGGACAAGCTGAAAGTTCAATAAAGACTGCAATCCCTTAAATGTACACACTTCAGCTCAGCACATTTCCTGTGGGGAATATAAATTGCTTCTAGTACTTACTACTCTGCATGCCATTCGAATTCTGTTGCTTTAATTCATTATATTAAAAAGTAATACCAACTCCAATTATTTGTTGTAAAAGTAGAGATTTAGCTAAAGCACACAGAAAATTCAATTCCCACCAAAATGGCTACAATGCTCAAATTAATGCATTTGCAGTCCTCACACGTTCTTCTCAGCATCCTCYAAAATGTCACTTATTTTATAAAATATATAGATTTTCGATCAAGGTCTCTCTGCTTTTAGTTTTGCAGATATTACTTACCCATCCCAAATCACTAATGATTGTAGCTAAAATAAAGGGGTGCATGTGAGCAAAGGTTACAGCACAGGACTTGGAGCTGGAAAGTTTGCACCTTAGAAACCTCTCRTCTCCAGTCCTACATTCAAAAGGTACTTATGATTTCAAAGAAATTGCAAATCAAATGATTACACGCTACAGGAAATTAGATAAAAGAGAAAGGAACCACTTCAACACCATCAAGAGATTCTATTCAGCTATTATATTAATAGTAAAAAAACATATTTTGATTGCAGCTTCTGCAGGTATTAAATGACAGGTTTGAGATTCTCTTTTATTGAAGTGCACAGATCCACAAAGCATTTTCAGTCCTACAAGGTGTTTTAAAATCTTGTAATCATTCAGCAAAGCATTTAAACAGCAATTCTTTAATTTTAAGCAATAACTGCACTTGTTAAAACATGTTCTAGAGTTTGTAGCACCTTTCAAAATAAGTTCAAGTGCCAGAATTAAGTGTAACTGTTGAACTTCTGTACCACTGAAATCAACACCAAAGCTTTTGCATCTTTCAAAGACAAGTGATGACTTTATTATTCCTAATTTTAGTTGTAATTTCTTTACACAATCTAATGTAATCTATACATTAACATCTTTTTATGTCAAATGCAATGCTTTTTCAGTTCAAATCAACATCTAGAAATATAAAATACTGCAGACACAATGTCCTTCTTTTTGTACAGAATAGATTTTTTCCTCTTTTTTTTCTCCCCTAATTTAACTAAAAAAAAAAAAAAAAAAAAAAAAAAAAAAAAAAAAAAAAAAAAAAAACCAAAAAAACCAAAAAAAACAAAAAACCAAAAAAACCGTGCATGGAAACATTGAAAATATCAGGACACAAAATCCAAGCATTTTTATTTGCTGTTAAGAACATCTATCACAGCAACTGTGCATTGTACAGACTGCTGTACACTTGAAGCAAACAGTGGGATTATATAAATAAATGTAAATACATATATATATTTATTCATAGACACTAATGAAAACAAGTCACAACTTTTATGGGCTACTACTTCTCTTGCCACCCTTAAATGCTCTTCCAATACATTAGGCAACAATGTCTTCCAAATTATCTTACAAAAAGACTTCCAAATCCTATTATTTTTCTTTAATAATTTAAATATAGTGTTGTGTGCAAGAGAGTATTTTAGTGAACCCCCATTAAAAAAAAAAATATAATAATTATAACTGAAAACATCTATTCCTAGGATATATAGGAAACACATTCAGATTAAAGAGTGATGGTTTTAAACATTTCTTTCSTATAAAAAAACAGCACAGAGGAATGAAATCAGGAAACAATTTACCTTTCTTGTCATCGAAGTACAGTGTCTGTTGAGCTGGATTTGACCACTGGAGGGAGGTGTTATCATTTTGATCGACCCTGCAGGTCAAATTTGCTGTTCCCCCTTCAACAACTGTGACGTTCTGTGTGAGTGGGAACTGCCCTTGGCTGCCTGAGGAGAGAGGGAAGGGATACAGAAAGGAAGAGAATAAGAGAAAAAAATTAAAATATTTAAGTTGTAGGATTGAATTTATTGCAATAACTTCTCAGAGATGACAGACCCAGAATTGAATGTGACCAATGAAAGGTAGTTTAATAAATTGAAAAATAAAAGCAAAAAAAAACCCCCATTTTCCATATATTCCTTGTACACAGAGACCTCTGAGACACAGCCAGATGAATTAAGAAATAAGGATTTCCTCCTCTCCTTTCCCCCCTCTGTAGTCATACTATTTAGTTCCAAAGAAATCTTGTGCAATTTTAACTCCTCAGACATACCCAAMGACATCTCGGCACAGGAAATGTTGTTAAATCATTGCTGAAAACATCACTGAAAGCACAACATAAAAATTCACACAGAATTTTTAAGACAGAGGGACGGGGCAACCTTGACTCCTTGCTTCTTTTTATACATTTAAAGGCCTCTCAGGATGATGTTTTCTGTGTCAGCTTTGGAAAGTTGTTGGAGAGCAAATGTAGTGTGAATCTAACACTTGACGCATATTCTGCTGGGGGAATATAACCTGATCTCATATGAAAAGGGAAGAGATGATGTAGTGGGTCTCTTTCACATCTGTGATTCCATCCCAGAGCATTATGAATCACATTAAGTGCTTGCTGAAAAGTCGCTGGGAAGATTTCCAAATGCCTCTACACAATGCAGGAGCGGTATCAGGCAGGTTCTTGAAGCAAAGCGTTTTCAATGGCACCGTTAGAGCAAAGTGTTTATGCAGTGTGAGAGCAGCACGCCCCTTGTCAAACAGCCCAGCACACCCTGACAAACAGGACTGCAAGAAGGGAGCTCAGAAAAAAAAAAAAAAAAAAACATGGAAGTAATCTTTAACATGGATAGGGGAAGAAAAAACCTTCAGTAACAACAAGGCTCATCACAGAATGAATGATCATTGTCTACGAAATATAATTTATTTAAGGGTACAGCACAAAAGAAAGACAACCAATACTCCAAATTAAATATCTGCTTCTTTCTTCTCCTCATTTTATACAGGTTCTGTTAAAAGAAGCACTGAAGAGTGGGTAGAGATCCTTGAAWAAGAAGTATAATGCCAAGATTGACACTCAAGTGGGATGTGTCAGAAATTAAAAACCTCTCTACAGTCCTACAGGAGGGAACAAGCTCATAGACATGTCATAAGAACATCAAGGAAATAATATATACAATATCCATTAATGATACAATGCAGAATCACAAATCCAGCATAAAACCTTCAGAGAAATATCCTACTTCAGTTGCTCTCATCAGAGCTGTTGCGAACTAAGTTAAACTGAGGAGTGTCTCCTACACTAAATCATGATAATATTATCTATTATCTATACAATTATTATATAATCTATATCTATTATCTGTACAATTGATTATCTAGGACACAGGTTTGCAGGTGACCAGAGTAAAGAAATACTAAGTAAAACTGAATAACTGAAAATTAACAACCCAACTTCTACTTGGCCTAGCAATATTGCCAAAATTGTAATTCTAGCCAGGTTCTGATTTCCCTATGCAAAATTATTCCAGTGCCCAATGCTTAATAATTCCATAAGTACCTACATCCACCAAAATGCAAATCTGAATAACTGATATAACTCTTGCATAAACATCAACTTCCTACAGCTATCTAAAGATCAAGATTTRCTATGTACTGATGTTTACTCTAAGAGGGTATTTACTATCAACAGGATCACAGATACAGTAAATAAAAAATAAGGAATRCTAAAAATACGGCGGCTAATTTAAATGCTGCAAATAATAAATGCCAAAATTCTCATGACATCCTCTGTATCTGACACTTCATTAATCAAACCCTGCTTCTTGAAAACCACACATTGAGAAATACAMGATGAGAGAAAAATCATAAACAAGGACGGGGGGAAAAAAAAGAAAACRGGAAAGATTTGTCATTTCCTTCCATTTCTCCTCTTTCAATTCCAATGTGTCAAGGAACCTCAAGATACTGCATGAATTGCTTATAATTTAAATTAGAATTTTTAAAATCCAGAAAAATGCACACAGCCTGTTATTACTTCCACTAGATTACAGGCAACTTACCAAAGAAATAACCTTCTACAGCATGAGTTGTGCACAGGAAGCTATGTGGGCTAAAATACTCTTTGCACAGAAACATTAAACAGAACCCAGTGCCAGAGATTAGCACAATGAAATCTGTCACTTACATTAAAGAACTGGAATGGGAGGCAGTCTAATAAAAAACCWGCTGTAATGATTTAGGACCCTATTAATGCAGTTCAGGAGATCTCCCCATAATTACCCCATATTCTCTGTCTGATATCACAGCTCTTATCATGAAGGTGGCAGTGTACAGGCAGTCCATCACCCCTGGTCAGTCAGTAAACTATTCTGATCAACCATAAAAATGGAAACTGTAGATGCAACAACTGAAGAGGTTGGAAATTTCTTTTCTCTGGCCACCCTAGTATTTGCTGATGATTTGGAAGCAAGGATTAATTCGGCATATAAAAATAAAACTGAAACATTTATCTTCTTCCCAGCCAACAGAGAATCCATATGGTTCTGGAGAAGATGCACAGAGCCTTATGGGAAGATTGGAGTGGAGAAAAAKGRACAGAGAAAATGAGGAMTTTAATATGGAAAGCAGCACAAGTAGAAAGAAGGGAGCCTGTGCAGAACAGAGATAAATAGATAAAGRAAGTCCAAATGAATGGATACTGCAYACCTTTTAATGAAGACAGAAGTTATTAGCAAATGATGGGAAAACTAAGAAAAATTTACAAGACTCATTTTACTGTTCATCTCTGCATCTAACTTGGGATACTGAAGTAGGAACTTTGGGGCTGGAAACTCTGGAAGAGGTTGTAAAACCCTACATGAAGCAGGTGAACATTAAAGAAAGCATCAGCATTGTGCCCTTTAACACAGCAGGATAAGTGTCAAATAAATGGTTTATGCCAATAAAAAATGCATCTGGTTCCTCAACAGCACTTTGTGGGAGAACTTTGTTTTCTTTAATGTCCTCTAACAAAACCATACCACCTTGACTCAAGAAGCTCAATAATGGAAAATTTATGCCCCTTCAGCAACTCCTTTCAGACAGCAAGAATCATCATTGTTCAGACAAAACCACAGAATTTACTCTTACTCTGAATTTGTCTCTCTGCAGCACCCAGCTTCCACTTCCTCTTACAACTTTTTCCGTGCTCTGAAGAGCCCTCTCTTATCAAACGTCTCTTGTAAGCACTTAGAGACTGATCATATCACCCATTAGCCTTCTTTTTGATAATCTAAATAAACTRAGCTCCTAAGTCTTTCTGCAGAAATTGCATTTTTTTAATCCTTTAATTAGYCTGTGGCTCTTCTCCGTGCCCTCTTCCACGTGTCTTTCCTGAAGTGTGCAGCCCAGACCCTGTGCTGCAGCCACAGAAGGCAAAAATACAAAGGTGAGGCCACTTCTCTACCAGGTTTTTATATTCCTGTTTGCACACCTGAAACAGTCTCCTTGGCCCCAGGGTCACACCCAGGTGGGACTGAAGGTTCACGCCATGCTGGTATTTTTCCTCAGACACATTTCCAGTTTTCCTCATGCAGCTCTTGTTTGTACATCCCTACATTTCACTGCATTGAACACAGCTTTTTAGGTAATTTCATCACAATTTATTTCCTGTTTTACTATTAACTGAGGYGATTGGCAGGCATAATTGAGAAAATGAATATAACTCAGATGATGACCACCCTAAAGACAGGGCTACCCATCCAGCTTCCTTGCTTTCCTTCCAAAAAACGGCTGGGAATGACATTTCCAACCTTCACCAGCAGGCCAAGTTAATCAAACACTTTATATATCTATATCTATA